GCTTATGTCGTTATGACTGCAAGAAGATACTCATGCAATGGCTCAAAACTCTAAATTATACAGAAATAGAGGGTCTACTCCAAACTGGCCGGCCGGCAGGGTGAGGATGGCTGGTGTGACAGGTAGAACTGCTGTATCAGCTATCTTCGCGTCTGGACTTCACCTTCACTTAACATCAGGTGGGGTGGAGTCATTTGTCGGACCTATCTATAAAAAAAACTATAAAATAGTAATATTCCATGAAAAATAAAAATATTATTATTGGCTTATTCCTAAACTAAATTTCTACTAATACATATATAACCACTCTGTACGGCATGGAAACATTTACATTTACACAATAACATACTTACTCCTCAATCATATACACACACAAAGTACATCACACACACAAAGTACATCACACACACACACACGCACATACACACACCACATGCACACACACACACACAAACTCCCCTAAAACTATAGTTTTAGTTTGATGTAAATAATGGAAGAGCGGTGTCTCCTGCTACAGGTATCGCTATACATAAAAGGAGTGCACCAACAATGTTATTAGATAATAATAGGTTAAGTTAAAGAGAATAAACATTTATTTATTATTAATGTCTACTTGTAAGATTGTAATGCGTACTGGACTTGGATAATGTTGTTTTTGCTCAAATATACATCAATTATTCATTATTTTATCTGTCAAAGGATATGATATAACTTGCGCGATATATTATACCACTATACCCGTATCTTTTGGCAGGAACTCCTTACTATACCTGGGGAACTAAGAATTCATCCATAAATTTGAATTTATAGACTCAACTGTCGAACATAAAACGTATAGGATTGCTTGATAGTTACAAATTCAGATAACGGGAAAAAATTGCTGCTTTGTATAAAAATAGGATGCCATTTTTACCCTTTGGGTATAAAATCCTATAAATGGCCTACCTTAGAATGTAGTCTAACTAACTACACAATAAATATTCATTATCATACGTACTTGACGAATATACCTTTTTTGCTGATCGAAGTCGATTAAATAAGGCTGACCGAAATATCGACCATTTCAGTTCTTTTGTCTAATAGTATAACTTCTATAATCATTTTGGATGAAATTCTTCAGTCAAATTTACTGTAGGAATGCCAGAGAGGAAAATCTTTCACCGAGCTGGGTGATGGTAGCTCGGGAGTCGCGGCCCGACTGATTCTGGTTGGACATTGAATATATGAAGTGTTAGCCGCCGAATTTCTCTTGCACGATGTAGGCTTTCCATATTATTAAGTGCGCCATCTCTTGACGAGGCGAATGATTACATCCTCCAACAGTCATATGAGGGATGTGTAGTTGTCACCGCCTCATATAAACGGTATAGGTAGACTGACCTAAAATCTAATCAAATCTAATCCTAAGATAATCCGCTAAGCTTTCTTATATATTCTGGCCCAAATAAAATTGGCAACAAAGAGAAGGAATGGCAGGTAATACACAGGAAAGTGTCGTACGTATCCGACAAGCCAAAAATACGGAACAAACAACACAAAAACTTTAGCAGTTTAGAACAGAAACTCTTCTTAAAGTTACGCAATAACACTTCTTACAGTATTGGTTCGTGGATACGGGTGTCTAATGACGGTCATGTGACGAGATGCTATTAATTGTATCTAAGTTTCGTCTACCTAGTTCCATTATAAGGTTTACGCAATAGTAGGTCAATGGATGACAGTATTTTTTTTTATTTCACGCTTCAAATCATGGATTCTTGGGAAGGCACGCTAATATGTCTGCCACCCGCAATCACTTCAGTTACTCCGTGATCATGGCGCTTGCAACAGTGCCGGCATATAGGAAACTCGCTAAAAACAAGGTACATGGTAACAATCCCGTAAATAACTTATATTACTATAATTGTAGTGACCATGAAAGTTTAAAACAATAGTTTTATAATTTTATTTTTAAAGTGATAACTTCTCATGGGAGGGTAAACCACTTCGTTACGGAATGCGTTACGCCGCCAGTCTGTCTGACTTTATTCCTCTCACTCATACGGCAGCGGTAGGCAAGCTCCTCTTCTCTCACTGTAACCCGCAGCGCCGCTTAGATTAGTTTAAGTTATCACTTTTGTCGTGCGTCCCGAACCGCTTTAACTTTACAACAACATTAAGTATTGAACTGCTAGATTATGTTTTTATTTATTTTTAAGCATTTAACTGCTAGATTTTTAAATCTAAAGAAAAGTTTACTAGAAAACAATCCACGCGGACCAGGCAGCGGACGAGATTCGAACCCGCACCCTTCGCAATCCGGGCGAATTCATTGACCATTATGCTACCACGGCCCTATTCGCCGCGTCGATATTTTCCTAGCCTTTAGCTGCAAGGCAGTGCCATCTCTTCGCGTTGTAGGTAACCCACAATGTCAAACGAATACTTTTTCAAGTATTAAACATTTGAAAGAAGAAATAGCAATTATAGTTATGTTTTTATTTATTTTTTAGCATTTAACTGCTAGACGTTTAAATCTAAAGAAAAGTTTACTAGAAAAAAGACCGCTGCCTGGTCCGCGTGGATGTTTTTTCTAGTAATTTTTTTTCTAGTAAACTTTTCTTTAGATTTGAACTGCTAGATGTTTAAATTCATAGAAACTTTAATTATCCAAGTTTCGGACGTGAGTCGAACCAGCATCTTCCGCTATCCATGCGGACGCGCTAACGTTTAATTTATTTGACGTCTCTGAGTACGTGCCTCAGTAACGCACAATGTTTTTAAAGTCAGCAATGTCACCAGTAAATAATGAATACGTTTATAATTAAATCTTCAGCAATTCCTAATAAACAAACGAGTAGGTGATAAATAGAATATCAAGTCGGAAAACTGGAAACCCCCGCGGGCGAAAAGTTTTACTAATTTCGAGGAATTACGTAAATGAGAGGGTGTTAAAACATTATTCCTGCACAAAATCGGGGTGTTTCACTGGAAATTAATGTGGACACATTTTCCGAATACCCACGGGGCGTCCCCAAGGAGCGTGTGCGGTCACGGAATGCCGTAAGATATGTACTCAACAGGGGAATTATTGTACCTGAATTTCTGTAACACACACTATGGGATAGGATATATAATACGGATTTCTCTTTTGATTATTTATATCTAGGATTCCTATTCAAACTTCCTTTTCCTTTCGCCACCTCAAGAGGCGTAAGGAAAAATCTTCTGGGCGTAAAACTATTCCAAGTCCTTTCCTGGAACTGAACCTTCATCAATCGGTTCGGTTTAGCCATGGAAAGATAACCGCCAGACATCCAGACATACTTATGCATTTATAATATAGTATAGAACAAGTAGACAAATGACTCCACCCCTGGCGATGTTATGTGGTGGTAGTGTCCAGACGCTTAGATGGCTGGTGTAGGAGTTTTCGAGTACAAACCCAGCCTTTCGACTATACAGAAGACCGTATTAAAATAAAACTACATTTTGGTTGTGTTGTATTTCTGTCGGTGAGTAAGGGTCTAGGGCTCCACGGGGTAGCCCAATGGGACAGGGTAGGGTCGGTGCTAGTGACATTTTTGGTATCACAAGCGTCTATAGGCTATGGTGGACTCTTATCACCAGACCAGGCCTCTTATCGGCCATACGCCTGTTTGCATCCTTTTATCATAAAAAAATATCCTAACCCAGCCATCTCCACCTAGCTGGCCTGCACCAATGCCTGCAGAAAACATCACAACAGCACACAACAGTATCCATAACCTCCCTTGACTCAACGCAGAAGCCGAAAGGTTTCTCCCTGCATGGGAATTACTGGGGTCGACTTCGCAGAATTCCCATGGGACACATCAGGAACAACTACACAGTCAGGAGGCTGCGGGCTGGTGTGGGAGCGCACGTCTGCATTGCACTGTTCCTGTGTTCAGTAGTGCCCCAGATACTCCGGGTCACCGCACATAATCTATCAGCTTGTGCATGCGTGGCTAGTATCTCCACGTCACTACCCACATTCCCGGCACGCATTATAAGGATCGGGGCCCTCATAGTGCCTGTCTGATGACCGGAGCAGGAGTATTATCTGGTTTTTACTAGGTGAGGCCCTGCTCGTTTCACCAAGCCTCTGTGTCGGGTCATCATCAGCCTATTAATGTCCCCAGTGCTGGGGCACAGGCCTTCCCTATGGATGGAATAGGGAGATTGGGCTATGACCCACCACGCGGGCCCAGTGCGGATTGGTGGGTGCTAACGACTGCATATGCAGCCTGGACCAACGGCTTAACGTGCCTTCCGAAGCACGGAGGAGCTCGAGATAGTAATTTTTGGTCACCCATCCAATGACCGACCACTGCGAAAGTTGCTTAAGTTCAACGATCGCAGCCGAACGCGCTAACCACTTGCGCCATCGAGCTCCTCGAGCTGTGTCGGGTGCTTGAGTGAAATATGCGGCAAGGAGTCTTCAGATACCCTGTTTGCGCTTCTACCAGTAGTACAGGGAGGCATAACGCCTTTAACAGATATAAAAAAATGCAGCTACATGAAATACAATTAGTCCGTTAATTGACTGTGGCATTGAAGACCAAACTGTCCGGCATATCGTGGAATTATGTCCAATACGTCGTTTCCGAGGCGATTCACGGGAACTTTAAGAGGAACTTACACCCAGAAATTTGGTGACTCATTTTTTGTCAGACTATTCGCAAGTGGAATTCTTTGCCCGCGCAAGTGTCCCCTTCCTACAAGATAAGGTCCTTTAAAAATGTGTGAAGAAGCATTTCAGCAGTATGGCAAGATCAGGATGGTTGGTGTGGCAGTTCATAACTACTGCACCAGCTAACTTCGCGTCTGGACCTTACCACCGTTTAACATTAGGTGGGATAGAGTCATTTGCTTACCTAGCTATAATAAAACACCTGCGACAGTTTACTGGCTGAGCGACCGGGATGTGGATCTGTACTCATATTTACCTACAAATTAATTATATGTTATACGTTTAAGAAAACCTTAGCATTACTTACAGTCTCCCTGACGGTCTTCAGCCTAGTTCCTCCTCTCCACCAGGATATAGTTGGCTTGGGCCTGGCACCGACTGCTTGGCACACCAGCTCCGTGCTCTGCCCCGCCACCAGGGGGCGCTTGCCGCCTTGCAATCGAACCCAAAGCGGTCGCACTGTAACAAAAATGACAATTTAAGGCATTATTTTTAAAGAAAATTTTTGCTAGAAAAAAATTCACGCGGACCAGGCAGCAGACTGGACTCTAACCCACACCCTCCGCTATCCGGGCGAATGCACTGACCATTATGCTGCTGCGGCTCTAAAGGCCGTGTCGAATATTCTCTAGTATTTCGTAGGCTGCAAGGCAACGCCATCTCTTCGCATTGTAGGTAACCCATAATGTCAAATGAATACCTTTACAACCATTAAACATTTGAAAGAAGAAGTAAAAATTATCGCCATATTTTTATTTTTAAGTATTTAACTGCTAGATGTTAAAATCTGAAGAATATGTTACCTGATTATACCTTATATAAATAACACTGTTTGTATTTATACTGTATGACACAGCAATCAAAATATACGTGAACGATTAATGATGTTTGGACGCCTTTTTCAACTAGAAAGAATAGCCATTGCTGGGTTTCTTGCCGGTTCTTCTCAGTATAACTTCCGCCGTAGATTTACGAACCGATGGCGTAGCTTCTAGACATTCATGAGTGCTTGTAACAGCCTAGACTGAATAAATGATTTCGAGTTTTACTTTGAACACGGTTAACATTGTTATCAGAATAAAGTTTTGAACAGCCTTCCGTGTTATATTTATATTACAGGCTCAGACCAAAAAAAAGGGTTTTCTTGGTCTGAGATTACAGGAACATTTATTTCTTTTTTCATCTACAAATTCCTATGCTTGTTTGTCATTCTTTAAATATAAAATCCTAATGACTATAATTGTATCCATTTAGTATATGAGAAAATTATATATTACAAAGCTGGTAACTACACTTGTTCTCTTAATTTCATTGTTGACAATCGTACAATTGATTGTACGATTTCTAACATGTACAAACCTCCTCAATATGAGCTCCCCAGATATTTAATTATTAAGTAACCTAACATACCGACTGCATTCTCTTACGAACGTCTTAATTCTACACACCGAAATGTACTTGTCAGCAGTAAAAGTTCCACGCAATCTGGGGACCTATTCTCAATATTCGAAATAGACTTCGAACATGTTTTAATCACTTTACTGATGGTGACGTAAAATATTCACAAAATTAAATCAATGTGTTGCTGAGTTTCTACGTCTGGTGACACTGAGTATTGCAAATTTGACTACACAGCTTAATTTTCAACAAACATACAAAATCATGTGTTCCCTCCTTTTACAACCTGGGATAATTTAAAAGAGGCGTGAAGAAGCAACATGCAAGACGGCAAGGTGAGGATGGCTGGTGTGGCAGGTAGAACTGCTGTACCAGCTAAATTTCTCTCAAATTCAAGTAATTTGATTTGGAGCTAGAGAATGCTAGGCGATTGGGTTCTAGACTCTGATACTAACTAATTTTAATTACGCGGTCTGAAGTAAGTTACCTATTTATTTCTCCTAGATGGCTATATCAAAAGTCATTCGAATATGTGCAGCGGTTTAGGCGTCAAAATGTAATAGAACAAACAACAATATTTTTATCACTATTCCTATTATTTTTCTAATAAGCAACCACACTGAATTCGATGAAGGAAAGCAAAAAAAAACATTAATTTCGTTACCAAAGAGTAGACCCCTCGCATTATAAAGCGTAATTGAATATTAATGATGCCGACACAAGGCGTATTCTATCTATTATTTAATTTCCCACCCGGTAAATCCATTAAATCCGAACTCTGATTAACATATTGGTATCAGATTTTGAGCGTTCATTGGTGTAGAAACACGCCACCGATGCTTTTATTTAATATATAAATACCGCCATGGATCAGTATGAATGAGCGCTTTCTAAGATTTTAATATTGGATTGTGACTATGTCTGATACTGAATAGGGGTGATGACGGGGTAAACTAAACGAAATTCTATTTAGTCCGTCAGTTAGATGATCAAAAAATAATGGACACGTATTTTTTCTTTGGGCAATCAACCAAAAAATGGCAAAGTTATAGCGCGTCAAAGTTTGGGAATAGGTCGTGACGTCACTTTTTAGTGAATTTTCACTTAAAAGTGTACTCAAACGTGACGTCATGCGACTTTTCAAATCAATATATCTCTGAAATGTTTATATTATGTGAAAAAAGAAAAATACGTGTCCAATACTTTTTGGTAATCTACCTGATAAACGAAGAAAAAAAATAGTCATCATCCCTATTGAAGAGAATAAATACAATGAAAAAGAATCAACGAGGTTTAACAGCATGGAGGTTAGAGATAAGGAGAACGATCGCTGTAGAAAATAGTGTCCCAGAAATACGGACAAAATAAGTGAGGCGCTGCGATCGCTAAGTTGTCTCAATAAAAGCGCTGTTGGGCGCTAATTTGAAATTACCAATGCCGCGAAAAAAATTTGTACATTATTCAACTACTTGTACTCATAGATGGTTTTCCAATTACAGCACGAGAGCGCATTATGCGGCATAATGCTTAACGTTGAATGTTCCAACTACAGCAACGCTTCGCACAATCGAGCACTCTCAAAAGTAATGCTTTCGTGTGATGCGTGCAATCGTACCAACTCAGTGACAGAAAATTAACAGGTGTTTTTTCTTTCAGTTGGCATTGATCGAATAGTTTTATTTATATGTTATCGTTAGTAATATTATTAAAGCTTTCGTTTCATTATAGTATTTTTTTTAAATAATCAAAGTTAATTCAAACTGTATTAAAAAAATAAATATAAGTATGGATGAAGGTACAAACATTGACTTTTTTTCAACACTGAACTTAGCGCACTCTGCTGGTGCATTTTAAAACTAATTCACGTTCCAATTAAGCATCAGCATCATTCGGCATTGTGCGCCACTGAGTCGCATTATGCTCTGTAATTGGAAAACAACCATAAACAGCTAACTTCTCAGATAGTACTTACCGACGGCAGCGCGGCTGGTGGCTGAAAAATGAACTATAAACTCTACAAATTTTCAGGTACAGGCGGGCTAATGCTTTAGCACGTAGCAATCGTTCTCTTTCTCTCTAACCACTATGTTTAACAGGCTATTTGACAAGGTTTTGAAAACGTTCGTATGTTATTTAATCGTATATAGTGATTCCATTAAAAGTGGATATATAAAATTATTTTGCGTATAATAATATCAGAAATAAAAATTAATTCAAATATGCCACGGAAACGTTTCTCTAGCAAATGTGCGTGTTTACAGGCAGGTGATGTCAAACGGCTCTCATTAAAACGCCAACAACAGTACAAAGTAATGTCCCTTCGTCAGGATGTTTACAAGCAGGTGACGTCATATTCTGCTCCGCCAATCCTAGCCATTTTCGGTCACGTGAAAAGAGATCAAAAAATACTTTTATATTTCATGAATTTAGTATTAATATCATTTTTTTTCTGTCGGGATAGAGAAATAGCTCCCAATATGTATGTTAGTGTATTTAACATACATATTGAGAGCTATTTCAAGCAAAAGCAAAATTAGTAGGTACTTTCTTTTTCAAACTGTCTAATAGTCCATTGTAACGTGATACGTTCTACGACAATGTCGGTAATTCAATTCAAGTTTCAATATTTTATTCAACTTATGAAGATCTGAGTACCGACAACGGACTCTAAATAGAACCCAGCGTAAGGAACCCTTTTCAAAATCAACAAAGTGTTACCGTAAGTCCCATACACATAAAAATACCCAATGGAATTCAATATGTATTTTACCACCTTGTCAGCATAACTTATACTAGTACGTATAATATGTCCATGTCAAATTATGCAATGAGTTTTGGTACAGTGTTATTTATTAATTAAATAAAGAAACTTCCAGTACCCTTAGCACGATCTAATATCGAATTCGAATGGTTTGCGAGTGCTAAATGACATTGTTAAATTCATTGAGAAATAAAAATTAGTACAGATTTGACAATGACATTTGGCACTCGCAAACTATTCGTATTCGATATTAGTTCGTGCTAAGGGTACAGCACTGACAGTGGTCGCTTTACGGCCAGTCGTGGTCGCGGTCGTGTAGTGCGCGAGGTGCCTTACAGTCTGTACATAAAGTAAGCTTTTCATCAGTGTTCCGAAGTGGTTTCCAATTTATCGCTTGGCGGCTTGGTGGCTGACCTGGTGCTCGCTATGCTCGCTTTTATCTTAAATGCACCTTATTAACAGTAATTAATGGCACTTAACACTGCACCAACACGCCTGAGGTAAAGCTTGCAAACTTCGCATTGTGTGTTCAGATTTCGACACTTGGAAACTAGATGGCGTTGCCGACAGTGAATGATGTATATATACGCAGAAAAAACATCCATCCATTCAGCAGGTTTGTGCCCCAGTAGGTGGGGCAGCCCCACTCAGCAGTAGGGACATTAATAGGCTGATAATGATTCTATACGTTATTTAGTTTACATCTAACAAACTTTGCTTATTTTGCACTTGATAACTGTCGTAAATGCTCGGAATAGATTCATAATCAGCCTATTAATGTCCCCACTGCAGGGGCACAGGCCTTCCCTATGAATGGAATAGGGGGATTAAGTCATGACCCACCACGCGGGCCCAGTGTGGATTGGCGGGTGTTAACGACTGAAGATGCAGCCGAGACCAACGGCTTAACGTGCCTTCCGAATCACGGAGGAACTCGAGATAGAAGATTTTTGGGCACCCATCCAATGATCGACCACTGCAAAAGTTGCTTTTAACTTCAACGATCGCAGCCGAACGCGCTAAGCACCCGCGCTATCGAGCTCCTCGGAATAAATAAATAAAATAAATAAATATTTCCAACACTCACACCAATTAGCCTAGCCCCAAAGTAAGCACTATAAGGCTTGTGTTATGGGATGCTAGGGTAACGGATGGAATACATATACTGTACATATATAAGTATATTTATAGAGAAGTACATATTAAACATCCATGACTGGAGTACAAATGCTCATATTCATCACACAAACATCTGCCCCCACCGGGATTCGAACCCGGGACCTCTCGAGTCGGCGACACC